TCAACAATTTGTGATCATTTTGTATCTTCTTTATTTTTCTTTGTATAAAAAATTTGTGATTACTGTACAAGCTATTCGAATTCGGAATTAGAATTTGTTGCTATAAGTAGAGGATCCAACGAACCTTCCAAGAAAAACAAAAATTAATCTTAAGGATAATCATGTATCATTTTAGGTAAGATTTTAATATCCAATTATGACATTTTTTTTAATTAAATACTTGATATCCTGATGCCAATATTTTAAAGATGAGCTAAATTAATTGAATATTTTGCGATTTATTTGCAGAGAAAAAAAGATTGATGGGTTTAAGTAATCATGGTATTCTTAAGGTTATTTTAGCTTTAATGGCATTCAACATTTTAGGTAAGATTCATTATACCTTCCCTTTATTTTACGACTAATAAATTCAATAGTTAATGAAACCTGATTGTGTTTTATTTGTCTTATGGTGTGTTTCAATGAAGAATTTTACAGATTCAAAGAATTTTAAATTCTTGATATTTGAATTACTTTAATTTCAATTTTTATCATTCTTAAAATATTTTGTTTGGATAAGTCAATTCAAATTTTTAAAATTTTAAATTGTTAAGTTGGATATCATAATTTGATTCTATCATGATAAAATTGATTTTAAAAATATATTATATGTTGAGATTTTTAAATTAAATTTTATAAAGTAAATATTAGCTCATTTTTAAATATTAAATAATTTTAAAAATTAATATTAGATAATATTTAATAATTTTAAAAATATTTTTGAATATTCAATAATTAAAAACATGAAAAGATAAGAGATGAGATAAAATATATAAGTGAAATAAGAAGAGAAAAAAAATGAAGAATTTCAAATTCTTACTTTTTTTGGAGAATTTAAAATTCTACTATTTCAAGGAATTTCAAAATTGCTTGAATTTTAAATTCTTTATAAATTCTCCATCCAAACAAGGTATTTCACCTCAAAAAATTTAAAATTCTTCAAATAAATGAATTACTCCATTTAAATTTCTCATCCAAATACACTATAAGTATTTTCACGTGATCAGAATAACTATTTTGAATCTTACCAGTTTTAAAGTTAAGAAACTTTGTCTTGAAGTTTCTAGTGAAGAATGTCTAGGTGACAAAACAAAATAAAATTTATATATTATTAGTATTTTAATATTATAGATAAATTAATATTAATAATATTTTTAGTATATTTATAGATAAACTAATAGTAATATTATAAAAATAATAATATATAAATTTTATTTATTTATTAAAAATGAATATATATGCGATAATGATAAATAATTATATAATTTTAAAATATTGTATATATATATTAAAATTATTAAATTTTTAATGAGAAAGACTAAAATCGCATATTTATGATATTTAAGGGACTAAAATTGTTCAATTAAAATTGAAGGACCAAAATTGCACAATTGCAATCTTTTAGGGACTAAAATTACCCAATTAAAACTTTGTGGATCAAAATTGCACAATTGCAATACTTGAGAGATCAAAAACGCAATTAAGACAAATTCTTTTATTTCAAAAAATTTCATAAATGCTTGAATTTCAAATTCTTTATAAATTCTTCATCCAAACAAATGAATTACTCCATTTAAATCCATCATCCAAACACACTATTAGCTCATACTATATTTATATAATTTTTGATAATTCATACTACACTTTTTAATAAATTTTAAAAAAAATAATTATTATGGATAATATATAAATATAAATTAAAAAAAATTACATAATAAAAAGAAATGCATAATAAAAATAAATACAAAAAAATTATAACAAAATTAAATATAAAACTAAGAAATTACATAATACCATAAATGCACGATAAATTATTTATAATAATAAATATGCACTGGCAATTTTGGAGAACATGGTGGAAGGAACGTTTCTTGGAGAATAAATCAAACCTCTCCACATGGACTCAAGTAACGTATCTTGGAGAAGCTACCTATCTTAATTTTTAACAATTTTCTTTGCTATGTCACTACGCTCCAACGACAGTTTGTAATAAATGATGGTACTTAACTTTTACGAACTACCTAAACATGCCGCTAGAAGTGCACTTATAGATTAAGGACTAAAAAAAGAAATTAGAACTATTTAATTAATTTAAAATACATTAATACTTTTATATAATGTAATCATATTTTATATCTCCTTGCCTTCAAGAATTCAAGCTCATAAGAAATTTAACTTATTTAATTTACAAAAGAAATTTAATTTGCAGTAAAGTTTTAAATTTAATACGATTTGACCTAAGAACCACTTTATAAAGGTGATCACGGATAGATCAAAAGCCAACTTGTAAAAAGGTGATTTAGTTTGAATTATTGAACCTAATAAGGTATAATGAATAGAAACTAGATATAGGTTATAGGTTTAATACATTTCACTTTATTCAATTCCTAATTCCCTCATCCACAAACTATGACTTTTCATAATGGATTTTCCCAATTATAATTCCTCACTCGAACACATTATACTTGCACATGAACAAAATTATAGATGTTTCCCCATGTTAGGTTCCTCTATAATAAAGTGATTATGTATCTTTTTTTTTTTTGTTTTATGCATTATATCACCATTTACTACGATGACAACGAGATGATGTAAATGGAAGCATTCTTCGTGCCTATGACAAGATTTAGAAAGAGAATTTTCTTGCACGAAATTTACACTTACAGAATTGTGACAAATGGTTGTTTTTGATTTTTTTTAAGCTTTTATTGATTCTGATGCTTATGATTTAGAAGGTTTGAATCGAGTGAAAGGATATGATTATATATATTAAATTAATGTAGCTTATAATTATTAGTCATCCATCTATTAGATCAAATTAAACTAAATTTAATTGAATTTAGTTTAACTTAAATATTTTTCTAGTACTTGTAATATATTTGTTTATGATTTTAGTCCTTATAACTATTTTTTTTAATGATTTTTATCCAATAAAATTTTAATTTATAATTTTAATCTCTATTACTATTCACCGATAATATAGCAATCATCTATTAGAAACAAACATGATATATCTTAAATAATAGGAATTAAATGACTATATTCTACTATAAGAGGGACTAATAACAAAAGTGTACAATTTTATAAAAACTAAAAAATAAATAAACATAAAATAAAATTATACATGGACCAAAATCATAAGAAAAATTTTGCAAGAACTTTTTTTTTTTATAATTAAAATAAAAAGTTTTGATAGGTTAAGTCTTGGAAGCTCCTTAAAATTAAGACAAATTTTAAACTTAAAAAGAACACTACTTATAGAGATATTGATAGATGATACAGTGATAAAAAATTCTTACATATATTATAAGAAATAAGAATATAGTTGGATTACTTAAATTTTAAACAAAACTAAATAAATCTTTTTTGATTCATCTAGGCTTTCATTTTCTCGTTATCCAGTTTGACAACCCTATAGCCTCGTCTATTTATAGTTGTTTTTATCTTCTCAACAAATATTGGTATAATTTTGAAGGAACTGGTATATTCTTAAAATGCACAATATGGATAAAATAGTAAGGACCTAGTCCTTTTCGTGAATGAGACACTCCTTAGCTTTGGTTATAACGATTTTTGTTTTTCCACCTTATGAAATGGAATCTATGGTCAAGTCCAAGTGAAATGAACTACCCGTGAGTGACTCGGGCCCAACAGCATTGGCTGTTTCTAAAGATTAAGACACAAGTTTCTCAAACTTGCTCAAACTCTTTTGAGTAGAAAGGTAGGGTGGCAATGAATTTATACAGATAAGTAGAATAATGGCAAGAAATGGATTCCATAATGCAGAGAATAATTAAAATATATCAAAGCATGACTCTGATAACATTTTTTTTTGTGAACCAATATATCTTGGTCAAAATGTATGTATTAATTTATTATAAGAACCGAAATCCATTTGAAATTCTGACTTTTAATAAATGTTTTTTCATATATGGGATTAGAGAATCCAACCATGACAGTATAACAAAATAATACAATAGTAAAACAAGATATTGGTTTTCCTATTAGCATGGTTTGTTCTTGGTTTGTTACAAAATAACAGATTAATTCATTGATATATATAGATTTAGTAAATAACGTCATATCTTTAGAATCCCATATGAAACCAAATTGCACAACAGATAGAGCCAACCGAAGCAAAATCATGATCATCCACAGTTCCCCTAACCTGATTTAGTTAGCCTACTATTCCTTGCCAACTAAAACGCCAATTTACTTAAAAAGCCAATGAAAGAGATCGTTCTACTTTTACTTTTCACATGAATCCCATTAGATCCACTCCACACACACTAGCAAGAGTTCCAAACAAAGGCCTATCATGTACTTAGGAACATGATGAAACTAGAAAAGGTGACAGTAGTTAGTTAGGAACTAGAGTGTTATAACTACAAGCACATGAACGCAGTGACTAACCAATCTCCCAACTACACAGATCTATGCCATGCATTTTAGATATATTACATAAGGTGAAGCATTCTTGCTTGTGAAAATGCCCGAGTCTCTCAAGTTTCCTCCCTAGAACAAACCCTCAAACAACCCTTCATAATTCAAAAGATTTTCCTTTCTCATCAAAACCAACCAAACAAAGCATGCATAAATCCACTGCCCTTCACATAAATGACACAAAAGACATGGCTGAATTTCCTCCAGTAGAAATAGGAACCCGAGGCACAGTTGCATCCCTCATAATGCAAGAAATTGAGTACTTCAGCAGGCTCAAAGTCAATTCTCAAGACTGGTCACAGAAGAACAAGTCTCAAACCATCAACATAGATTCCTCAATTAGTATTGATTCCAGACCGACAACTGTATCCAGAGTAGAAAGTACAAAGAAAAAGCGATCAAGTAGCAAACTCCTACCA